TGTGTGTGTGTGTGTGTGTGACTGTGTGTGTGTGTGTGTGTGTGTCTCCAACGTATCCCACTGCAAAACACTCCATGCTACCCCACCATTAGGGTGGTATCCCGGGTCCGGTCATAACGGTACCTATCTAACGCTGCTGACTGCCATCCTACTAACATGCAGCCACCTTGTCATCTCACGCGTGATAACCATGAGCAGTTCCCTAGCATCCTCACACGATATATTATACAGTACTCGATACTTGCAAGAAGGTAAGAACCGAATTCCGCCGTGATCCAATAATGAGTGCTACTGCTAGTATTCGGGATGAGGACGGAGTCCCAATCTTCAACAGATTGATATGTGACACTGTCACAGTGTCGTGGTAGTTCAGTCCGATTGCCACGTTTTAATATATTCGCCTTCTCGTATCCCTGGGCGTATTTGCAGGGCAGACTCGTATTAAACTACTGTAATTACGTGATAATAACTTAGACTGATCTACTCGGAGTCTCGGACCAATTTTTTGAACAAAAATTTAAGATGCATCTGGCCCCTTTTCAACAAATCATACATTTCCGCATTGTCCGGCAGAGGCGTCTCCCGATCGGACATCTGGCAGTGCAGAGTCTGCAGACATAAACATACATTGTCAATCACTTACTGATAAATTAAATACATCTGGCGTTGTCAAGGTCACTTGATGTGCCTATCAAGTCAGACATTGTCCGGCATATATTACATGAGTTCAAAGGGGTTGATACTATCTTTTTTTTTTTTTTTTTTTTTTTTTTAATAGCCCTTTCGATATCCCTTTATCCTGGTGGTGGTAAGAGAACCGTCAGAATTGAGGGCTTATCTGTTGGGCTGCTCCATCTACTGGTGGGGAGCGGCACCTGCTGGAAACCGGGTCCAGCGTCTCATTGATACATGGTTGATCCTAACTTGATATGCATACAGTAATATCAAGGCGAAGCTTCGTCTTCATGCAATGCACTGGCAGAGCCTTGAAGTTCGTGCTCTTCCTTCGTCAGTGCTTCCTTCGTCATTCTTTTTTTCCTTTTTTTTCCTTCGGCATTCTCGAGAAGGAGCGTCAAGGTTCATGCTACTATAATTGCGTGGCAACAAATCTGGCCCGCGTAGAACGAGATCATAGCAAAAGTTAGTGAAAGACAAAGAATCATCCATTACAGAAGTATTCAAGCATGTATCACACGAAGACGGAGCATACACCGAACGCAAATCGGTCATCTTCTCAGAAAAAAATTCCATGCTGGGATCAAGCTAAGAAAGACAAAAAAAAAAAAAAAAAAAAAAAAAAAAAAAAAAAAAAAAAAAAAAACACGAGGCTGATGACCCAAAGGGGAGAGAACAAGTCCAATCTCAGAAAAGGCCCCATGGCAGTATCCTCCGCTGCACAAGATTATACACCAACCTTATGGTGTTCGTCATTCCACATCGAGTAGGTGATCTTTCGGCGCTTTCGCTTCTCATTTTCCATCCAATCACTGCCGTCTTGCTTCTGCCAAAACCGATCGTATTGGTCCCCGACTAATCGCATCGCATTCCCCTACCCAGACCTCCGCTTCCTCCATGATCCATCGATCCAAGGCTCCTTCCTTCCTTCGAACATCAGTCAGAAAAACTCCACCTCTGTCTCGTTCTTCCCAACGTCATCCTCCTCCGTCTTCCCCGTTCGTCGTACTGGCGTGTACTCTACTCCCCCGTTGAAGTGTCCCCCCTCCTCCCACCGATGCCACCGTACCCCTTCCAAGTTCCAACCCCGGGGCTAGGTCCCACTTGCGCAAATTAAGGAGATTCTGGCCGTTGACCTTTGCTATCTACGGTCAGTATCTCTTAACTCGTGCAAGTGCGACCTAGCCCCCGTATGGATTCAGCTTCTCGGACTATGTCGGGCACTCCGCTCCCCTTTTTTTTGCACCGCTTTCCCAAATTCCCACCGTTACCCCTTCTAGCGGCTTCAAGTTGCGGATTCGGCTTCTCGCAATACCCCGATTGAAAAAAAAAAAAAAAAAAAAAAAAAAAAAAA